AAATTCAGCCTAAACTAATCCTCCAACAGCAATCTGAGACCTCCTACAAACCTTCTTGTTGGCTCAAGAAAAATGGCACGAGTGCACGAATCCTGCTTTGCAACCTTAGGATTCCATTTCCCTTAAGTCAGATTGAAATTAACCAGATTTCCACACTTCTATCAAACAAAGGATGTGGAGGTCGTGGCAATTCGACCACAAGATCACTCATAATGGTTATTACAACACCTATTCCTTTCACACAGATGGTTGAATGGTTATCTCAAAGCTGTTAAAGGAGATTTTGGGAACAAAACCATCCAATCCAATAATAGAGTTTCACGCCCTATTCTTACAAACCCTATGGTCAGTATAACATCGGGCGATCCTTATGTTGATGGAAGGGAATCCCGCCCAAACTATTCCTCCAGCCGCAATTTGAGACCTCTTGCAAACCATTAATACCATCTTTCCTGACACTCCCGCCAGACTACCTACCATGAGGGAAATTTAGCATGCCATTGATTTCATTTCAGGGTCGGTCATTCCACCAAGACGACAATACAAGATATCTCCCAAAGAATGTGATGGGTTATAAAGACAAGTTGACGACCTAATAACTATCAGATTTGTGGCCAAATTTTAGTTTTTGTGCCATATGTCCTCCTCATGCCCAAAAAGGAAGACACATGGTGCATGTGTATTGACAACTTCGTTGTAAATAAGATAATTGTCAAGTATTAGAAGTTCTCCAAGAGCAACGACTATTTGTCGATTCCGCCAAATGTAGTATGTAGTGAACACAATTAAATTTATGGGTTTTGCAGTCTATCAAATATGCATTAAAATGGAGCCCGAGGTGGTTGTCATTAAGGGGTGGTCTACAGCTCTTTCGATGACTGATGTGAGAAGATTCCATGGGCTGGCCTCCTTCTACTACCATTTCATTAAAAATTTAGTTCAATCACTACACCATTAAGTAAACTACTCCAGCAATCACAGTTCACATGGACAACCTTGGCTCAAGATAGTTTTGATCAGCTAAAACTACTTGTGACCCCAATGCTCAATCTAGCTCTCCCAGAATTTTCTTAGGTTTTGAAGTAGATTGTGATACTTCTAACATAGACATTGGGGAGGTGCTAAATTAGGGTGGTCATCTGGTGGCTTACTTCAACAAGAAACTAAATGAATTCTACCAAAGGTATTCTACTAATGACAAAGAGTTTTGTGCTATTATCTAGGCCTTCACAACGTTGGAGTCACTTGTTGGCACAAAAATTCATTCTATTTTTAGAACATGAAAAGCACTCAAGTGCAAAAAAAATTTAAAATGGGTAGAGTACTTATCCTCTTTCCATTATACACTATGATACAAATCTTGCACATCCCTCCAAATGGTACATGTGCTTAGCTGTTGCCTAAACTTATTCAACACTATCCAATTGAAACAGGAAGGTTTTAAGTCATTCAAGGGTTATATGCTCAGGATCCGGACTTTCAAAAGAAATGGGAACATTGCCAACAACATGCATATAAACTTTCCACAACCAACACAGCTACTTCTTCTCAGGTAATAAACTATACATTTTATGCTATTCTATGCAAGAGGCTATCATTTCAAAAATCCATTTTCGTTGTAATAAGACTGGCAATTATTTAGGAAAATTTCTACTAGCCACTTCTCATTAGAGATGTGGAGCAATTACGTTAGGAAATTTCGAACATACAGAATAACAATAACAAAACAAAAAAAATAGTGGATATATTTCCCTTGTAAGTACCCGACACACCTTGGGTAGACATCAGCCTGGATTTGCCATGGTGGTAATGGTTCACTTTATACCTTGCAGAAAGGCACTAGATGCATCTCATATTGCCAATCTCTACTTCGAGGAGGTTGTTCAACAACATAAAATCCCAAAAACAATCACTTCTGATAGGAATGTCAAATTCATAGCCATTGTTAGAGAACTATATTGGCCAAACTTTGCACTAATCTCGAATTCAGTTATGTTGCTCACCCACAAACTGACAGTCAAACTGAGACAATCAATAGGAGTTTGGGAAGTCTTTTGAAATGTTTTATTGGGAAAAACATTCGAAAATGGGATCAAATCTTAGGTCAAGTCAAGTTTGCTTGCAATTGATTTCAGAATCAATTGACAGGCCACAACCCTTTTGAAGTCGTATACAGGCAAAATCATATTGTTCCATCATAGTTGGTGCCTCACATTATAGCAACTACACATAACTCTAATGATGAAGCTTGAATTAACACTTTCATTGATAGGTCCCAAGCTCTAGAAGAGAAAAGTGGAGGGTTGTGTTAAGTAGTTGATAGCAATCGTAAAACTTGCCGAACAATTATAACATGAATATTTTAATACATTGTGTTAATCCTAGGAGTTCATTGGAAGCAACACACTATATGGCCTAAGCACAATGAGAAGTGTACAAGGGTCACAACACTGGCACCCAAGTGCAATGTTAAATAAGCAAAGGGTTCCCACATTATGGATGGATGTGGGCAAAGAAGCAAGTGCATGAAAGTAGAATTAGGATAAAAACTTGGAATATAGGTTTCCTTAAAGATAAATTAATGAAATTAATAGATACTATAATTCATATAAAGATAAACATTCTATGCATTTTGGAAACAAAATGTATTAGAGAGAAGGTTAAAGAGATTGATAGTTTATAATTTAAATTATTATATTCAGGTAGGAGTCATACTAAAAAAGGTGTATGTGTGATTATAGATAAGATTTTGAAGGATAATGATGTAGAAATTAATAGAATTTGAGATAGAAATATAGCTTTAAATATTGTTATTAATATTGAGATTATTAATATTATAAGTGCTTATGCTCTTTAAGTGGATTTGAATATGTGATCCAAATCAAAATTTTGAAATGGCATAGAAGAATTAATATAAATGATATCTTTTGAAGAAAGCATTCTTATTAAAGAAGATTTAGATATACATATTGGTAAGGTAATAGAATATTTTAAAAATGGGGACGGTATTGCATGTGTCGACAATACTTGAGAATTCAATTAACTAAGAGCAGGACAAAGCAAGACATTGTTTTCAGAGAATAAGCCTATATATCAAGTAGTTCACTTATAGTGAATAAACAAAAATTTCCCTGTAGAAGGCAGAGGGGGAAGTAATAAGAAAATGGCATAGTACTAACCAACTGGTACAGGAGTGAATTATGCCAACAAACGAGCGAACCAATCTTTCGATCATGAGGGTGTTGGAGTTCGCATATTAGGGCTAGTCAGACATATCTGTGTCTATTCTTGTGATTAAGATCCGACAGAGGTAACAGATTAGCCGAAGCTTTACCTGTGAGGCTCGGCTATTTCATGTAGGTCAAGATCGGATCAACGAACAATAGCATGTTGAAGAAACTGGAGGAGACTGTTTGCAAGAAGAATCGGTCGGCAACATGCCAAATTGGAAATCTTACGTGTAAGGATGGGAGACGCCACAGTTGGGAGATCAACAGAGCAATTGAAGCATTACATTGCATATTTGTTGAGCTTCACATCTCAGCAAGTAGGATTTTCAACAGTTTCATGTTGAGAAAAAGGCTTTTACTAGCTTCAAGATGATCAATGTGCCAAATTTTCAGCAGCCCACAGAACTAGAGGTTGAGTTTCAACATCAACATGAAATTTGGGAGTAAGACTCAAGATCACGAAAGGCTATTTTAAAGTCACCAAGCTGTGTTCTCATTTTCTTCTAATTACATGTTGTGTTGATACATGGCTCAAGCATATTTGCACTGACCTTAAAGCCCTTAATAATCCCATTTAAATTAGATTAATTAATAACTTTTTAATTCTATAAATTTTAATATTTTGTTAATTAGAGAATATGAACTTATTTTCCAATTCCTTAAATGCTCCATAATTAAGTTGCATTTTTTTGGCAAAACTACTTGCTCTTAATTCTTCTATTCTAATTACTAATTTTGATAAATCAACTTTCATAAAGATTGTTTAAGGATTAAAAAGGTAATTAATTTATAAATAGAGCTAATTTATAATTCTATTGGATCCAATGATATCTTTTGATAAATTTTTTAAAAATACCATATTCTTGTGTTATAACATCCTTTAGTTTCAATAAAAATAAAAAGTTCAATCAATTTTCGAAAATTCCACTCTTTGCCGTTACCATGTTCACACGAGATAGTGTCATGGGGCAGCTCGTCACACCAATTAAGACGAGACCACATTGCATAGTTGGCAAGCATATTAAGGGAAAATTCGTTGATACAGGATTTGCAGCTAAATATTAGGATCTTCTTCTAAGCAATTTGAGAGGGAATTGGACCTATAAGCATAAAACAAAATTTAACCCAGAATCTTTATAGAAATTCAGGCCTAAAACCCTTCTTAAAAAACATTTTTCTCTTTCAAATTCCAATGAAATGATTTTGTTCTTTAAGTGCAAAATGTTGGGAGATCACGAGCCAATCATGTTCAATACGATTGCAAGCTTGCTTAGAACAAGTTTGAGTTGCAAGATCGTTCTTGTGTTTTCAACTCAGTTCTTATAATTTGAATTACAATCCGCTCTGTAAAAATACTTGGAATACTTGAGTTTGCATGGATATTGATGGGTTGAAAGATCCCATATAGGAGGGTATGATTGTGGCATTTACTTTGGCAGCTTGAGGAGTGAAGGGGAGAATGATTAGTTGAATCCTAAGCCAATGGAGTCTAAGGCGTGCAAGTAGGCCCAGTTCGGTACCAGATCATATAAAAACTGTGTGCTTATTTCTCATATTTAATTTTTTTTCACTTGTGTTTTAGATTGTAATTGCATCTATTAATTTACTCACATAACATTCACTCAAACTTCCACTTTAATTTGTAAAGAAATTTAAAACACATTCACCACCCCTTCTCTTAGCATGACAGTCACCATCAAAATGCCTATTCATTTAAACATAAAAAAAATAAAAGTAATAACATAGTTATAAGAAATATTTTTAGTTCACCTGATAGTACCCAGAGAGGTTTTAGAAAGCATATCATGAGACTGATCACATGCATCATGCAAATCAACCTGTTCAGTAAAATCATAGGATCAGTCTTCATATTGCTATTTCATACTCCTAGCGAAAATGATGAAATGCAAAGGTTGCACATAAACATAACTTAAAAACAATTAGAATGAGAATTCAAAAGCATAATCATAAGCAGAAACAAGTAAAATAATAGCACCTTATTAACACTAGAAGCTTCACTTTCAACACCACTCGGAGGCTCATGAACAAGCAAATTCTTCTTTTCAATGCATATTGCCAGCTTAAAATGACAACAAAGATTTCCAATTAGGCATGCCATTAAGGTAAAGTAATTCAGTAAGGAAATTCCAACAAAATAGATATACTTCTGCGCAGTACATTATTCCAGGATGGGATCTTGGGGATTTTTATTTGCTTGCTGCCATTTCATTTAGTGTCCAGATGTTATGATCTTGGCGTCCAACTTTTCTTACAAGGTCTATAATCTAGAAAATATCCAAAAAAATACATATTTTCTTTACACATAAATTTCACCTACCTATTTAAAAATCAGTATTTTTTTTGTTTGGTTAGATATCATGAGGCTCTGTTTGGATGACACAACTCAAAATTGGTGACAAAGCATCTCATGGTCGAGCCAGGTCAACTACCTTAACAACTAAATGGTCCCAAACTTAATAACGTGGATGAAGGATTGATAAAAACTTGACTAAGTTGTTTTTACTTTTTGTTGGATTCCTTACCAAAACCCATCACCCTTTTGAGCCCTTTCATGCTCCTCTCAACTTTTGATTATTCAACAATTATTATCATGTAGATTTTCTATGTGAAGAGTCAATCATCTGACTTAGTTACGGTGGTTCACCCTTTGCCTTATGGATTGACCTTTCTCAAAGCAAAGACCACCCTTTCTGGATAACATTCTTTGAATAATTTTTTCCCTCGATGTTAACCTGAGCAAATCAAAATAAGAGCACAATTCCTTTATCAATAGTGTCTATTGGTGATGTCCTCAAGTATGATTAACCTTAAAGGAAATCTAATCCCTTCAAGAGGACTAAATAACCCAGATTTCTTTACTTGATTTTATTTGACTTCGATTTCTCGGAGTAATTTATATGAGTTGAGATGAGATTTATTAGTCATACTACATCAAAACTATTCTATTATCTTTTCTTGTAAAATTTCAAAACATCTTCATATCACAGTCTTTTCTCCCTCAACACACATGTAGAATAGTTTTTAGTATATTTGAATATAATAGCTTGTGTGGTTGAGTTCATCCATTACAATTGTGGTTTCTAGGCTGATTGCTCATAAATGGAGCTTATTGTTAACTAAGTCTCTACAACATAGAATATTTCCTGTATATGATTGTACTTGTGGGTTGCATTAATTGTTTCACAAGTTTGCATTTTAATGTTGCTAATGAAATCAAGAATATTATGAGCATAGCTTATTAACTCTTAATCACTCTTATGTTAACACTTTATGTACACTATCACCATCACTTGCATTTGTACTTCTTTGATTACTTTTCTTATATTCTGCGTGACAATTCAATGTGCCTAGACTCCACATAATCTAGTCCAAGTAAAACCATAATGAATGCTGTTGCACCATTTTATAGTTGATTTTCTATTTTCTATGCAAAATGCCATCAGTTAGAATTAAAAGTTGATTTAAGATTTGAAATCTTCAAAGAGCGATTGCCTTCAAAGTATTATCAATTAAGTTTATATTAAAAAAAACTAAAAACAATCAGAAAGAAATTTATTCTTCATATCTTTTAGTGGACTGAAAGAACAACAAGCAGTGATTGTATTCTTTGTATTCAAGGCTTAACCAAACCTGACACTTTTTGATGTAGCATTTAGGTTAAGTTTGCTTTATCACGAGGACCTTCTTACGCTAATCACAGGGATGTCTTAAACCTGAGCCCACCCAAAATATGCCCAGCATATAATTGTAGCCAGCACTATCTGTGATGGGAAACTCAACCTCCCCAGTTGGCAGAGACACAACATGTTTGCATTATATCGATCTTTTCAAGATAAATTTTGAATGCTTAATTTTTTTGTTCTATATTTTGAAATGTAATTGGTCAGTGGAGTTCGTTCTTACATGCATATCATGAACTTATACATTTGGATTAACGGCTTGGATTCTATTTTTGTGGGATTCCTGTTTCTACGGTTAGCCCTGCCGCTTGTTCTCGTGATTGTTATCAGCAGCATTGTTTTAGTAGACTTTGGAAGTCTCACCCTATTCTAGCAGATCTACTTCATCCTATTTCTATGGCTGTGGTTCCTATTCCTACAGTATTACAGTTAGCCTCCTAACTGGTTGATTATTAGATTGGATTACAATAAAGGTTACCATGATTAACCCATTCCAAAACAAAGCATTTAAAAACCTAGCACAAATCAAACTTTTGACTATGCTTGCTAAATACCCGCAGACCCACCTTCCATTAAAATTGTTAATAATAGGAAAGAAGTGTAAAATATATAGCAGTACCATCTGCAGTTTCTGATGCACCAAACATGTGGCCAGGTCAATACTGGAGGAAGCTGACATTTTTGGCAATGGTTGAGACTCCTCCCAGCACCAACGAACTTCTCTTACAAATTCAATCCAAAGAGTGGAAATTGCTGCAAAATCAGATGTAAAAAGATTAAAATAGAACTTCTAATCAAAATTTCAAATTTAATCAAACTCTCAAAAAAGATCAGACAGAATAAATCCACTTCAATTAGCTTATAAAAGCGAGTGCTTTAAGAAAAAAAAAAAGTTGAAGTTACGTGCAAACCTCTGATGTTGCAATTCCCAAGCCACAACAAATGCAGACAGAACTCAGCAAATAGAGAGCCTAGAGGAGCACCTTTTATAAAACGAGAGTTTCTTTTCTCGAAGTCTACAGATTTCCAACTTTCAACTCCTACACACAATTGCATTCAATCAGGAATCTGAATAGCAACAAAGCAATGGGAAAAAAAAAACCACTGACAACATAGTACATATACAATAAGAACAACAATATCAAGCCTTTATCCCACTATATGGATGCATGAATCCTTTTCTCTACTCTGTACTATTAAGAGTCACAATCTCACTTAAATCTAATAAAAAAAGATCATTTCTAATATTTGTAACCAAGTCTATTTATAAATCTATCTCTACCTTCATAAGCCAATCTAAAACATATACTTTCTTAACCGGGTCATCCGTAGGCCAACGTCTTATATGACCAAACCATCTAAATCGACTCTCTCTAATCTTATATGCCATTGGAGCTACTCCAACCTATTCACGTATATAGTCATTTTATACTCTGTCTCTAAGAGTGAAGCCACTCATCCACCTAAACATCCTCATCCCTACAACACTTAATTTAAATTTATGCATCTCTTTTAATGGTCAACAATAGCAGAATACAGATCAGATAAAAAAATGGCTTCAAAGTAAGATTAACCAACATACATAAAAAAGAATACTTCATAGTTCGGCATCAAAAGTTTTACAAGTTTCTACGGAACAAAAAAAAAAAGCAGAGCCTTTTCAACAGCTCTATGGTCATTTGCATGCCAAGATCATGAAATAGAACTGAAATCTGCCAAATAACCAACAATCAGCATAACATAAAAGTCATTTCTTGACCACTGTTAATTTCATTGCAAGGAACATTAATGTTTCAGTCAAACAAGTTAGACTAATATGATTTTGTTTTTTGCACGCCAATCAATAAACCTTAATTAGCACATACATGCGAGATAAAATTGATTTTAAAATAAAGCAAAAGTAAATGGAAGATAAACATGAAAGTCAAAAGTTAATAACTTGACAGAAGTACAAAAAATTAGTTGATTGACAAAACTTTTTAGCGGGCTCCAAACCTAATGCCATCTCCATTAAATTAAAAGGCTAATGCACACGGTTATAAAGAGTAATACAATGATAGCTGGTTATCACAATCATAAACAGAAGAAGCAACAGTAATTAGATCCAGCTGAAAATTTTCATGGTACCATTCCGGAAAATCTCTTTAAGGATGCGATCCACAACTGCTGGAGGAGGTATACAATCAGAGATCTTAGAAATATCAGAGCCTGAGTTCTCAGCTGTCTACCACAAAGACCAATGAATAGGAAGTGAATCTTCATAAAATTTGCAAATAAGAAACCTTACAAATATATATGGAACCTGAAACAAAATCTTCCAGATATTTGGCTTCAAATGACATATCCAATGCAGATACCAAAAGGCTCAGCTGTGAGGCAAATCCAAACTTGCCAATAGAATCATCAAACCTGCTCATAATCACCAAGAAGTAAAAGCATTTTAGATATTTATTGCAGGTTCATCATCTCATGTAGAGATTGAAAGGTTCAAGAATTAAGAATCTGTCATATAAAGACCTAGACCTTATTTTGCTACATTAACAGAATATGGTTGATGTATTTGTTGCAAATTTCTTTATCATGAAGCCAAATCACCAAAATATAAAAAGCATCTGATATATTGTGATACAACATTTTGATGGTGAACAAGAATCAGTCTTATTGTAAAGAACAATAACTAATGTTTTTGGATTGTTAGAACCATAGGGATGATGTTGATGGGACCCTCCAAAAAAATCTTTCCTATATATATCAAACAACCCACTTTTCTGATAGTCCTACTTCAACTGGCATTAAATAAAAACCTCAAGCTGCTATTCTCATGCATAGTCTATAGCTAATGAATCATAAAATCAGATAAAATTTGTTCCCATTCCTGTTCTTCTATATCAACCTCAACTGCAATTCAATGTTTCCTTCGTACTTCATTTAACAATTTAAAGCCGCCTCTATAATTTGCTACTCTCAGCCTTTGCCATCGTTGCCGCCTTGTCTAAAAGCCAAGATTTGCTTCTTTCAGCTTTTTCCATCATTGCCACCTTGTCTAAAACAAAATACCATCTGACCACCACATTTGTTCTGTGGCTCATCCAAAGAGGCTTTCACCACATTTTCTTATAAGTTAACAGTTTTATTTATAACTTGCCCCAGATCTGCCACTTGTTGATGCCTGTTGAAGTCTATCACATCTTTGCACAAGTTCTAAGTGGCTATCTCTAGCATCATTTGGCACAGAGTAGATCAATCAGTTTCAAAGTCAGCTGCGACATCATCAGCATCAACCTCTATTGATTTACCACTAGTTGTACCTTCCAATCCTGCCACCTTGTTGATCTACACACTCACATAGTCAGTTTCAAAGGGAAAATGTAAAATTTGAAAATGTCGAATCGTAACTTCGCGACGCATTGCTACGCACTAAGACGAAAATAGCAAATTTTCGAAGTTGTCAGAATTCGAAAATAATTTTTATAAAATTCTACATTAAATTTCGATCGATTTGATATAAAGGACTTAAGGTTAATTTCGCATGGATTGGAAATTAAAAATCGTGAAAGATTATTTAAGGCCAAATGACTAAATAACCCCTCTTAACTCTCAAGAGCACAAATGCATGTAAGGGCGCATGCGCCATTGGCATTTCCCAACACTCCAAAGAGCTTAAGGGACCAAAAACATTCGGCCACTTCCTCATTTCTTTGCCCGATCAAGGGAGAGAGTGAACGAGAGAGGAAGAGGGCAGCGGCTTGGAGTTTTGGCGAGCAACAACCGGTGGTTCCGGGCGGCGATTCTTGGGGATTATCAAGAGGAAGGCTTAGGGAAGAAGAATGTATGACTCTAAACCTAGAATTTCTCCTCACTTAGATTTTTCTTAGGATGAAAATCTAGGGTTCTCCAAATCTTGAAATTTTTGAAAAGAGAATGTGTAGGAAAGTTTAATGGTAACTTCTAAAACCCTAATTTTAGTTTTCCTTCAAAAATTTTGAGATTGTCAAATTTAGGGCATCTTCCAAAATTAATTTTCTTTGGAAGTGCTCTAACTAATATTGGTCCAAATGGTCTTAGAAAAGTTTTTAATGGTGAAAATTAGGGGTTTTCACAAATTTTTTATTTTCTTAATTTTTAATTTATAATAATCCGAAAATACTTAAGCCCTAATTATTTCTTGGGCTGCCTTTGCATTAATTCCCACGGATTGGCTTCAGGAATTAATTCCTGTGGTCCCCCCTTTTCCGATTCCTGCAGGTTCCGTGAATCTGCTCCTTGGAACCGTGGCCTTTTTGCTTTCCTTTGCTGAGACGTTTGGGATTTAAGTATAGTGACTGATGGCCTTTCAATTACCTCATTTATATGGGAATATGAAGAGATTTTGGGACAGAATTTGAACAGTTTTTGGGACTGTTTTTGAACAATTTTTGGACAGTATTTTGGACAAAATTTGAACAGTTTTTGGGACTGTTTGGTAGCTGTTTTGGGAAGAATTCCAAGAGTTTCTACTGCAGTTTTTAGGTGGCTTTTGGCCTTCTATTTCCAGCTTTTAATTAATAAATTATGAATTTAGATAATATTTTAGATTTTTTAAAATCAGGGTTTAATTAAATTCGAAAATAATTAACATTAAAACATTAATTAAATGGAAAATGAATTATGTTTAATGATTAAGTAATAAAGATTTGCATTATTTTAGGTGTTGGAAATAGGAGAAGTTACACGTCACAAGCACAAACGGTGTATTTCACACATATAAGAATTGTTGCTTTATAATTAAGAACTCTAAGTTGAAGGTTTAAGATCATATTCATGTTATTTGAATAGTGGAAGATTTTATAATTAAGTTGAGACGAGTATTGGAATCTACAACAATGCTTGAGGTTTTGGTAAATATTAAATCTTGAAAACATTCAATGTGAGTACTCATGATTTTTTAATTATAATAATGAAATTTGCTTCTCTACAGGTAATGCATCAAGTATTATTATTATTATCTATTTGCTCATTGTTAATATTACATTTTTTTATGATAGGCAATTGATCATGTTTAATTAAAAGATATCATAAATCAAATATTATCATGATATTTATTGTAAAATTCAATATGAAATGATGTGAAAAAAGTAAAATAAAATGATATGATATAGTATGCTTGTATGTGTGTGGGCTCCGAAAATTCGGCCCCGGCCTCCGCCTGCTTTTCTTTTCTATTCGGCAAGGGAGTTTTAATGGAAATAAGTTCCGGAGTAAATTTTGGAAGGCAGATGGGTTTGTAGATAAGACACTACCCAGAGATTTCGCCCTCATTTTGTGAGGACTTTATGATCTGAGTTCTGGTTTCCTATAGGCGCAAGCCCCTATAGTTAATTACCCCTCCCGATAACGAGAGAGAACTTTCGATTAAGGCTAGTCATCGATCAGATACGTATAGAAATACGTGTTATCTGGCATATAGTAGCAGCATAGGTATGGAAAGTTTGTTTTTGTCTAATTCATTTAGTTTTTGTGAGATCTTGTAATCTTCTATTATCTAGGAAGAGTTTCTTTTGTTAGCAAAAATTTGGGGCCCTCTCCCAAATTCTTGCTTGCATCAGGAAGGCTTAGGGAAGAAGAAGGTATGACTCTAAACCTAGAATTTCTTCTTCTCACTTAGATTTTCTTAGGATGATGAAAATCTAGGGTTCTCCAAATCTTGAAATTTTTTAAAAGAGAATGTGTAGGAAATTTTAATGGTACCTTCTAAAACCCTAATTTTAGTTTTCCTTAAAAAATTTTGAGATTGTCAAATTTATGGCATCTTCCAAAATTCATTTTCTTTGGAAGTGCTCTAACTAATATTGGTCCAAATGGTCTTAGAAAAGTTTTTAATGGTGAAAATTAGGGTTTTTCACAAATTTTTAATTTATAATAATCCGAAAATACTTAAGCCGTAATTATTAATTAAGTGATGGGGAGGTTTTGACATGCTAATATGATGAAATTAATGAAAATATGATTTCCAAATTTATGGTTTTAAAGCAAAACCGAAAATAGAGATTATTTTAATTTAATTTAGGCAATGGTAAAGTGTTAAAATAGGAAAATTATGAATTTAGATAATATTTTAGATTTTTTTAAATCAGGGTTTAATTAAATACGAAAATAATTAACATTAAAATATTAATTAAAGGAAAATGAATTATGTTTAATGAGTAAGTAATAAAGATTTGCATTATTTTAGGTGTTGGAAATAGGAGAAGTTAGACGTCACAAGCATAAACGGTGTATTTCACACATACCAGAATTGTTGTTTTATAATTGAGAACTCTAAGTTGAAGGTTTAAGATCATATTAATGTTATTTGGATAGTGGATGATTTTATAATTAAGTTGATATGAGTATTGGAATCTACAACAATGCTTGAGGTTTTGAAAAATATTAAATCTTGAAAATATTCAATGTGAGTACACATGACTTTTTAATTACAATAATGATATTTCCTTCTCTATACATAATGCATCAAGTATTATTATTATTATCTATTTGCTCACTATTAATATTATATTTTTTTATGATATGTAATTTGGTGGGGGCAAGAAATATAGGGAGCCTATACCCCTCACCCAAACGAATGATTGGTCCTTAACCGACGACCCACTAAATCACGAAAGATGCGACTAAGATGAAGAAGAACAAACTCTTACATTTCAAATTAAACTAAAAAGAAGAAATTTTAAAAAACATTACAAACGACGACGGATTACAACTTTTGACTCGAAATCAAAGACACCCTAAAGTTGCTTTACTTAGAGACGAAAGATACAGATGGAGTGGCACTTGCGGAGAGACGAAAGAGATTAGAAGCCGAGACGAA